CTGACATTTCATATTCCATATTATTTCAATTATTCGTGAAACTCGCGTGGTTTCGATCCTATATATCAGCCGGTCACTCATTTTTAGATCATGTTGTTCAATGCTTAACTTCAACAATCGTCCGGAAACTGGTGATGCCGATGCGCCGTAACGATATCTTGGTAGATAATATTTACAATATACTCTTATCGTTCAAAAAATGTTATGACATATTTGTTGGTAAATGTTTGATACGACAATCACAATGCGATTAATATTGATACAATGTTGTATCAGTAATCAAATTTTAACCTACAACGTACTTGTAAAAGAGAGACAATATTCCTTCTTTCTCTCTCACAATACATTGACAGAGTAAAATTATGATTAGACTCTTTTTGTAAGAACTCTAATTTTACAATATCGTGATAACGATCCTTGCATATATTAAAATATCATATTTTATATACGAGAAACACCTAAAATATAATTTCACATTTGTGTATAAAAATATTGTACAACTGAAATGTAATGTAAACATTAGACTTCTTATATAACATGTTATATTAAAGTTGTTATATTGTTGATATAACTTAATCAGTAAATAACATAATAACATAATAGTTTTATAACATAGTTATATCGCAGTTATAAAGGAAATTAAGTAATCTCAATATTGATAACATATAACAGTAGTTATATTACATGTTATTCCTGTGTTATATCATAGTTATGTTCTGTGTTTGCTGGGAAGACGTCTTAAAGATTCCCTAGCAAAAAAGTTGATAGAGAACGATAGAATAAAATTCTATCGTTCTATCATTTTCTATCGTTTTGAATATGGATTTTGGTTCGTGAATTCACAAATAGTATTCTATCGTATACGATAGAATGCAATAGATAGTGGTAGAATTTCTTATAGTTAGTTATTCTTATCGTTAGTTTCCAATAGAATACGAAATTGTTTATAACCAGATAAAATACTATAAAATACGATAGGATTTATATCTTGCGTGCGAGAATGACACAACTTAAAGAAAATGATTTAAATTAATAGCGTACACGATTTTCATTTTTTTTCAGAATGTTACACTATTCCAAAAAATTTGGCAAAAATATACGTTGAAGAACACATTTTAAAGAATATACATGTGAAAAATGGTTATTGTCATTATAGAACATAACCTCAAAAAATTTTTTTAAATAATTTAAAAAATTGTTTTCATCTGAAATTTTAGTCAGAAAAATTTTTTGATTTTTCTAGAAAATAGTCTCATTGATAGTTATAGTGTTTTTTTCATTGAAATCGGTTCAGCCGTTTTTGAGAAAAATAATTTTTAAAATTTTTCTTTATCCCTCCACAAAAATGAAATTTTGAGGTTAAAATTTGATAGAGTTTCATATCACATGAATGCAAACTTATGACATTAATTAAAACTCAATACGTGCGGGGGCAGATTTTACATACTTATCCGGCTAAGCTCTTTATTGAAACCAATTGTCAATTAAACGATCAAATACATTAGCTCATTATTAATTGTCAATTAAACATGATAACTAATTAAAAAAGCAATTAATTGCTCGCAACACTGATCAATATTAAGTCATTACTGAAAAAAATAACGCGTTGTTCCTCAACTCTAAATTATATTATAATTATATTATAAGTATTAAAACACACATTTGTATTTAACTGTGCATGTTGGTATTGGTGTTGATATAGATTTAATTCTTCATACGCATACAGATCGATATTCATCCAGCGTAAAGAAATGAAACCTGTTATATTTGTTCGTAGAGGAATATATTTATCAAATAAACCTACACACGCAGCTTTATCTTGTGCCGTTCTTACGCTGTTTTTTGTGCCGAAATACGTCGTATGCATTATTTTATAATCTACCGTCGTAAAGATTGTGGATTAAACACCTTTAAACATTTCATTTACGCACAATTCGATTTTACTTCTTGCAAAATTCTGTGTCAACAATATCTTATACTACAGAAAACATCGAGATCTTAAAATATCTAAAAAATAGTAAAATTTAAAAAATGGCAGTAAGGAGCACGGATTTCTTAGTGCTATTAGATATTAATACTACTTATTTAATATTAATATGATAGGGGGAAGATAATATGTCCAGCATGTTAAACGCACGTATCGAAATTTCTTCGATTATCGTACGCGGAGAATCAACCTTCCACACTTAGACCGATCCTTGAGCCCCAAATTTTTATATATACGAGTATTTACATTCCCAAAACCCCTATTAAGCCGATAACTCAAAGATGACGATCAAAGATCGGTCTAAGTGTGGAAAGTTGATTAATTGAGTCATCGGTTTAATGGGGGTTTTGGGAAAATAAATATATATACAAATTTGGGACTCAAGGATCGGTCTAAGTGTGAAAGGTTGATTCGCCACGTACGATGATCGAAGAAATTTCGATACGTGCGTTTAACATGCTGGACATATTATCCTCTCACTATCATGTTAATATTAAATAAGTAGTATTAATATCTAATAG